AGTTTTATTTTTCTAACAGGGTGGTTGGCCTTTGGATGTTATGGAGGTAATAGTTTTAAGTGGGTTTCAGAGAAAGCTTGATAAATATATGAATGATAGAGGTTGGTGTTAAGATTTTTTTTAAATGTATTTATTAATAGTGTTAGTTTAGTTTAGAACATGGACAGCCGAGATGGATCAATAGGTCCGGTTTTGTCCCAAAACATTGTTAAATGTTAATACTACTTCTGTTATTTTGTTCAGTGTGATTGCAGACATAAGTTGACATAAAGTTGAAATTGCTATATGCTAAAGTGTTCTTGAAAGGAGATAGACAACTAGAAAAGCTTGGACTGATCATAAATATATTTTAGCAGGCTGCAATTCATTTCCTTCCAAATGATGAATTCTATCACAATATAAAATCTAAAGCTTGGGACCATTTGAAAATTTAAATAGGCATTTTTATTGATCATAAGTTTAACATATTTACAAATACCAAATGTTTGATCTTTTTGCTCATTGCTCATATTTAACTTTTAAACCTTCAAGTAATATATTGAATGGAAAAAGTGCTGATATGTATTTTATAAACATTTTAATGTGGTACTACCATCTATTAGCAGGCTATAAGCTAAAGAATGTGCTAAATCCTAACTAACCTCATAGTGAAACAAGCATGTTATACAATCACCACTAAGAAAAGTATTGGGATTAAGTAATAGGTAAATTGGGATTTTCAGCCAGATGCTTGCAGCGTCTGCTCGGGTTTAAGGAGTTACACCAACATTATGAGGTCAGTGGTTAACAGATTAAATATTCATAAAAGAAACAGAGTAGCATCTTTCTGAATGTCTGCTTTTCTTACAAGTTTCAGTAAAAACAAAAACAGGAGGTCCAGTTTATTCTTGGATCCATCATCATCACTTGTCATTGAGTTAAGACTTTTTATGATAAATTCCACCACTCATCATTAACCCTAGACAAGTGCTAATCAAAGAACACCACCAGACCTCTTACATGAGAAGAGTGTTTGAGTTGCTCTTTACCTTCTACAAATATTGTATTAAAAATCTATTTTTAAATTTATTTAAATAAATATTTTTAAATCTGTGAAAAACCAACATCTCACTTCTTTTCTGTCTACCTATTTCTTGTTATTATCTAATTATCTGCATTAATTTCCAATTTTTACAGAGTGCACTAAACATACTGACATATAAGCCAGTTTACTTCTGTCATCGTACATACAAACCACATTTTTAATCGCAGAAAGTAGCATGAACAGTTGAGATTGAGAGAGCATGGTTATAAGTTAAGTGCACTGCAGTGCCACACTTGACAAATGGCTTTTAAAAGTCCGTCACAAAAACAGTTTTTAATAATAACACTTCTTGCTAGACAAGCATGCACTATCCTGCATTTTAACATTCATAAGGCTCAAACAATCACCTTGACATATTACATACATTTGCAAGTATTTGTAACACATCTTCAGAAGGTCCAAATAAAGTGGCCAGTCAGTGTAACTAACTGTTAATATCTGTATCACAGGATAGTTTATTTGAAACTTTTGACATTTAATATATTACAAAATTATTTCACACTTAGTGTTTGTGGTTTACATTGTTACTATGGAAATGTTTGGTTTATGTGAAGAAATAGCTGTTTTGTCATTAATTATAAGTTTCTTTTTGCAACTAAATAGAGACACTTTAGATAGACATATTATAAGTATAAAATAATTCATATTTGATTAACACACACAATATATATATATATATATAAAGTTTTTTGTATTGAATTTTATTATTTGCATAAAAAGTAAATTTCCTTTACCCATATTTTTGCATTTGATATGCAAATACTTGACAAAGAAACAATTTTAATATTTTACTTAAGCCTATTTTTTCTTCTAAGGATAATTTACAATTCAAGGAGAGTAAAAAAATATATAGAAAGATAATACACACAGTTGTAGTCCTGGTATAAAGTTTCCCAAATACAAGGAAGTAAATGGGCATCCCCAGTCATCTAAGAGGTATGGAACAAGCAAATTTCCATCATCATCAAAACTATACTTTTTGTTCATGATGGATTTCACAATATCGTTTTTGTAGAAATTCCTGTGACAAATACATATAACAACTTTTTAATCAACATTAAACTGTAATGCTGTATTTCAGTACATTGCTGAAATATTGTTCAGAATTCTGTACTGAAGATCTAAAATAATTACAAGCTCAATAACAAGCCCTAATTGCTGAAAGATATATTACAGAAAGTTCAATCATAACACCTAATTTGATAAAACTCCAAAATGTAGTCTACAGCTGTATTTTATACAATCTTAAAAATAATTATAATACATTAAATCATTTTTGTGTTTAAGAAAAAACTAAAAAAATATGTTATCAAAATAACTATCTGTAGGGATACAAATCACTGAACTTAAAAGTGCATGTCACAACAAGAACAAAATTATGTAAGATGTAAGGCCAGGATTGGGTAAAATCAAACAACAGATGTCTGATACAAGGGTGGTGAAGTTTAGTTTCTGGATATTTTTCATGCTTCCAATTTATTATTCAAAATAAAAGTCCCTGGTATATTGTTAAAATAATATTTATGAAATAAGTGATGAGAAAATATAATTAATAAAAAAAACACAAAGGAACTCCAGTCTAGTAACTCTAAAACTTTAGTTTTTTACTTAAAGCCATCTTTCAAAACGTTAGTCCTTTAATTGACTTTACCTGCCCTTTGTGTAAACTTCAAACGAAATAATATAGTTATATCAAATCCTTACATTAGCATGTCAGATTGTAAAAGGATTTTATCTTTTTTTTTAACTCGTATACAGGATTTAGCTCATTGACAGGTATTAGAAATTTAAAAATAACCTTTTCTAGAATGACATGAACTGTCAAGAAATAACGCAGATTGAGTGTGTCATACCACAATTAATGAAGATTACTATAAATTATGAGGGTAAAACATGTTTTCAGCCCATTGGAAAAAACGAGGTCACACTCAATTACTTTCAATGTAATGCTCTTGCCTACAGAAGTAGTTTATTATATCACTAAAACATAATGCTAAAAAACTACTCACTTGGGAATTTTGAAAACACTTGAAATATGTTTTGGACAGTACGAAGTGCTGTAATGACCAAATATTTAAGTTTACTATTTATTCTTACTCTAAATTTTTAACTAAACAAATAGCATTCTTTTGTTTCGTTAAAACACAAAAAATCTTAGGCATTAAATAACTTGGATACTGCATTAATAAATGGACTATAATTATAATTCAAAATTTAAAATATCACTCTTACATCATTAAAAAAAACAGGAAACTTTACATTAAGGTGCTGAATTAACATGAGAATGATGAAAGATTATAAGTAGAATGAACTAAATAATGTTGGATTAAGATGCACAAAAACAGTATTTGATAAGAATATGTAACACTTACTCTTCCTCAACTGAAATAGACTTGGAAGGAGGGCATCCAATAATGACTCGGATTTTCTAGTAACAAAAAAATACAACAGTATTGCACAAAACATTGTATCCTTTCATCTCAAAACAAATTATACACAGATTTTTCTTAATTCTGATATATTTAGCATTTAGAAATAAAAGTCGCATCTAACAAAAAATAATGTTCTGATTATGCGCTTCCAATCTATTTTAGCATTACTTTGTGAGTTAACTGTCATTCCTGCAGCAAAAGCTAGCAAGATTTATGCACTTGTATTGTACAATAAAAATGTTTCATAATAATAGAGAACTCTTTATTTTCAACAACATATATTTTTGATTGATCAGGATAAATAGTCTTAAATTTAAAAAAATTTCAAACAATAAGCCTCAATTGCTACCATGTACTTCCTGAAGTTAAATAATTTGTTTTCTTTGTGATAGATTTTAAACTTATAACTTATAGATAATAATTAAACCTAGAACCAGCATTTGTCCATTAGGCAACTAACTACCAAGAAGGTGAGAAATACCTGGCTAGTAAAGCACTTGAAATTAATAATAAATGCTTGATTACAAACAATATCACTTGAACAAGTTTGGCAACAAAACAATACAGAGACTTAAGCTTTTATATCATCTTGATGGAAAATTAGGACCCAATAAAGTTATCTTAAGGAAGGGTACAATTTAAACTGCATGTTACAACAATAATAGGAAGCTATTGTTACAGTGGAAAATGTCTATGTAGTTTTTTTCACACTCAACCAATTACAATGCTATAATTATAATTTAAAATATCACTCTTACATCATTAAAAAAATAGGAAACTTTACATTAAGGTGCTGAATGCATAGGAATATTGGAAACATGTGGTTGGATGTTACTGACCTAAAATTTACACAGGCATTTTAAAGCACACCATACCATTTATACCACCTGAAAAAAAATTGTAATTGCTGCAGTCTTTTACTGATTTTAGCACTTATTTATACAAAACCATATGATGCAAAGAATTGTATAAGGAAGCTTTGACAAAACCTTCAAACCTCATTTGCATCTGCCAATGCAGTAGACTAAGCAACATAAAAACACCCACACATAACAAAGCTAGTCCTAATTTTATATATATATCAATTACAGTTTCTTCTTAAAAGTACATGTTACAGTAAATGAGAATTTTTTTATGATATAATTTCTATTACTAACTAATTTTTTATCAGCTTAATGTTCTCACTTAAACATGAGCATATTAAAGATTTTTAATCATTAACTGTTTAGTTGAATATAATCTCCAAGCACTGACAACCTTCTCTGATACTTGCAAAAAAAAAGTCATTTAGACAAGTAACTAACACTGCATGTTAACAGATATGAAAATACGTGTAACACATCTTACAGAAAGGTAAGACAGTCCAAATGATTGACCCTAGAATAAAAATAGTTTTCTGGGGTACAATTTTATAATCTTCTCTCAAAAAGACTGAAAAACAGAGTTAGGAGAAAAAAATCATAGTTTATTTTAGCTAAGTATGGAAACATGAAAATATTTCAACTGTAGAAGAAACAAATATGTGACTTTAACAGATATACATTTATTGGATAAGGGAAGGTAAAAAGGAAGGGTTTCAGCTAAGAGAAACGTAAAACAGGAGCTGAAATAACCTACCTTCCTTTTACCCTTTAAGAAAGACTTGTTCCTGTAAATACAAATGTTTCTGTAATTTTTACTTACGAAAAACAACAGAAAATATTTTTAAGGTAAAATATACAATTATATAATGTTATTATATGTTTGGTAAAAATACATCAACAATAAAGCTTACAAAAACTTTAAATGAGTTTAGTATAAATATTTTTGGCATTTTAATTAACAATTTTTGGCTCAGAGCCTTAATATAAATTTACAATAACAAGAGGTTTTGAAACACTTTCAGCCTGAAGTGCATCTTATTTAGGATAAAATATTCTATTGATGATCAATTCAAAATGTTATAAGACTGTATTTTCTGACTATTTGCCAGTTTTAAAGTTGTTTAGTTTCTTTCATGGCCAGTACTAGCATTAATTTTAATCTTTCCACTTTAGACCACTCACAAATTTTGTTTTTAAAATTAATGAAGGAAATACCAATAATTGAATATGATTGTATACATTCTAGTACATTTGATAAATATATAATTCTGTATGGCATAGGTGAAAGAAAACATTAATAACTCAAAAGTATTCTCATTCTTAATGAAGCAGTAAATAATAATAAAAAACTCTCTTGATGCTTTATAAAAGACCTGCAATGGGGAAGAAATAGATTATTATTTCTTACACAGAACATTTTTTTTGTTCATGATGTAATACACATCTACAAAACTGATACATTAATTTTGGTTTTTACTCCATGTTGAATGAAGTTTATTAATTATAATGCCATGAATACATAAAATTTAATATTATATCAAATACCAAAAAATATTGGTCAAACTTAATAACATTGTGCATTAACTTTTTAAAGAGTAGAACTGAAACTAATTAAATAGAACATATGATACCTGATATAATGCAACCAGACATATTGGAATTAAAGTTTTAAATTTCTGCATGTACAATATAACCACTGGAACTTTAAGAGTTTATATTGCACAATACTTATGAAGACAGAATGGGCTGAATGATGTTCACGTGGTGTCAGTGTATATTATGAACACATGTAAGAGATGGGTTGGTTAAACAAAACTGGTGCTGCCTTGTATTACTGAATCATTTAAATTTGTCAGTATATGACTTTTCAAATACTTGTAACTAAGCAAAAATGATACAATAATAAAGCACTAGTAACAGTAAAAACATATAAATAACATGCATCTGTGAACTTCGACATTACGGTATTAAATCTCCTAACATAAAATGAATGTATGGAAAGGTTTTGTGTATACAATATATATTTGAGTAAAAATATGTAAGAACATATTTTGTATAATATATCATTTATAGGAACAAAACCTTTACTAGTTAAAAAACACTGTTTCAACTGAATTACATGAAGTGACAATACATATCCATATACAAACTAATATACTTATAATAAATATTCATTTAAGACATGAGGTCAGTAAATAAACAGATTATGTGTCCAGCAAATGAAGCTTAGTATATATTTAAAATCAATTTAATGAACACACAAAATCTGTTGATAAAAAGACACATATTGGGTTATTTGAGCACTGATAGTGCCAGTGTGATTAAAAATGTACATAACTGTATAGTAAATGAGGAAAGTTACAGTAACATTATTTTAAAGTTAGCAAAATCAACCAATTATCTGATTTTCAGAGATTTGGGATTTATGCTATGTATGTTGAGCCTCTATCTTTAAATTATTTCCAGTTTCTGATTATTAAATGTGTGAGTTTTAGGCTGTGTGAAGTGAGTACAGTTACATACCTTTTTAACATATATGTAAAGTGAGTCTATTTTTTTTTAACATATTCCCAATAATATTGGATTTTCAAAGATGTGGGGTTTAAGCTGTGTATGGTGAGTTTCTGTTTAAAATTATTTCACTTATAAATACTGAAAATATGTTACAAAGAAAATGATATTGGTAGATTTTCTTTTACGCTAAACAACAAAAAATATTAATATATTTGCTGCAATATATAAAATAAGAAGTATTAGTAGGTTTGCGTCACTGATAATTCAGAAAAAAAAACTATCGTAAAAAAAGTAAGGATAAATCTCTTTGGCTAGTATACAGAAAATGTGTAAACTTAACAACCTTGTCTCAATTATTGTGGGATTTTTCTAGTAATTTCTTGTTGATCTCTTAAGAAAATATTCAAAACTAGCCCACACTAATGAAATCAAACTATCATACTCCTAGTTTTATTGTTTACTTGAATATCTAATTATATCTAATATCATTATAGCTATACACAATTAATAAACTTGATCTTTAAAACTACTTAGTGATTTGTGAAGAAAAATTTAAACTTGGTAGTTTCTAGAACAACATAGTTTACCTTCTCAATATGTGGATTGCACTTAGAGTCTGTACTCACTCCAGCCACAACTACATTTGTTTCCATTTGTTGTTTATTCCTGAAAAACAATGGGTCATAAGTTATAAACTCTTAGAGACTGATACATTTAATCAGAAAAAAATATTCTATATAAATATAATAGTACTGTCTGTTGTATGTCCATGTAATGACTTCACCCCCTGTTGTTGGATCTTCACCAAATTTGGCATGAAGGTTTGTTGGGTCCATGGGGAGATATATACAAATTTGAATTTGCAGTTTCAGATTTTGTGTTTTGTAGATTTTATAGGCGTTTTTGTACTTTTTTAACAATTACATGTAAGGGAAGCAACTTTTCATGTCCTAAGATAACTTTTCATTAATCATGAATTTACATAACTTACGTCCAGGGGATGAGTACTCCAGCTAGTAACTACCGTATTTTTCAGAATATAAGATGCATCGGTGTATAAGATGCACCCTTATTTTGAAGACAAAGTTTTGGGGAAAAACAAGCTACAGTCGCATTTGAAAGATTATATATATTGTTCTAAACACAAAAGAGCTCAAAACACCAAAATAAGAAAATACCGTAAATCAAA